ACGGCAGACATAAGGCGTCAGAGTGACGACGCAATATGCTTTTAACGTTGCATTTTCTGATCCTTTGACAAACGTTATTTCGTGGTATGTCTGGCTACTTATACAGGTTGTTTTTCAGTGAATAACTCTATATATAAGAGATTCGCAAAAAGCAGAAGCGCAATCCTCCGCTCCAGAGGTGTGCTAGTGGAAATACTCCGTCGGGAGAAAGAGGTAAATCGCTTGTGTAGCGCATTTATGTTCTCTAACATTAGCGTCATACTGTCGTGACTAGATACCATTGTTTGTGGTGTGAAGCAACGAGGGAGGGGAAGGAGCCGGAAAGGCAGGGTGGTTATCCAAGACCTTAACCAAGTGTAGTAGATCTAACCAGCCATGGTTGGCTAAACGCCACTCGTACGCAAGAATAAGCCTTACCAAATAATGGCGTAAGCCTTCAAAGTCATGTTCGGAAACAGTCTTCTTGCGTAAGCTGTGTCCCTATTAGATGCAAAGTAGCTCTTTGAATAGTCTCTGTAACGCTGTCCCTCCATGCGACTGACTTCACGCTCCCCTCGGAGTGCGTGCTGACGTCACTCTATCCTTCACCTGCCATGCGTTCACTACACCGCCGAGTCGTCGGCTCACGCACAACACACTTGATGCGTGCCTACATTGTACGCGTTGAAACATGTCTGTACGTGTCACCTCTCGCTCGCTTCACCTTCTCCATCACTCGCAACCCTCGAGCGCACATCGAGTGGTAACACTCTTTCGCCTAGTTTATCTGCGATGAAGAGCACGCTGGAAAACGCTCGTTCAACCGCGGAAACTTCCGTCGATGCGATTACGCCAAACCCAGCTGTCGATGGCGTTGCGAAGGTTTGCGAATGCAGAGCGCGCTCGCGAATGGTGACGTCGTTTACTAGAGTAAATGTCACACCGAGTTTCGCTTCAAAACTGTTCTTCCAGCACCCGCGTCGACGCCTGTTTCAACCAGGGCTACGCCGTGCGCACCGCTGCTGCTTCGCGCACCGTCACGATTTCTTCACGGAGATGTCAGTGACGTCCTCATTTGATGAAGGTCGCCTGTTACTTCGACAAGAGTGCACTACACAGCGCATCTCCGGTAGCCATCGAATTAGCCGGTGCATGCAAATACAAAAAGGAAGAAGTAAAAAAAAGAAGGAAAAATCAGAATACAAATTACCTGTATTTTTTTCTGTTGATTTCTTCTAATTTTTTTTAAACCTTATGCAAGGCCATACAAAGTCAAGCTAGATTTCGGCATCTGTTTTAGAGTTCCCTCTGGTTTGTTTGATTGATATGTGGGGTTCAACATCCCAAAACCACCATATGATTATGAGAGACGCCGTAGTGGAGGGCTCCGGAAATTTCGACCACCTGGGGTTCTTTAACGTGCACCCAAATCTGAGCACACGGGCCTACAACATTTCCGCCTCCATTGAAAATGCAGCCGCTGCAGCCGGGATTCGAACCCGCGGCCTGCGGGTCAGCAGCCGAGTTAAACTCACATACTAACAGTTTTTAGCACGGTTGTCTAGTTCTGGCTAATGTTGACGAAACGTTGGCTACAGTATCTAGTGTTGCCTATATGCTGTTATAACTATGGAATTCAACAATGCCTGTGTACTGATATTCCCCGACTTCACTATTTCTTGGGAAATTCCACCAGCGTTGTTTCTTGATTGATTGATTGATATGGGAAGTTTAACGTCCCAAAACCACTATATGATTATGAGAGACGCCGTAGTGGAGGGCTCCGGAAATTTCGACCACCTGGGGTTCTTCAACGTGCACTTAAATCTGAGCACATGGGCCTACAACATTTCCGCCTCCATCGGAAATGCAGCCGCCGCAGCCGGGACTCGATCCCGCGACCTGTGGGTCAGTAGCCGAGTACCTTAGCCACTAGACCACTGCAGCGGGGCAGCGTTTTTTCTTGTTTCCCGTTTTCTGTCTGTGTGCGGCGCTGGTAATGATATGCGATTCGCGAATTCAAATTGCCTGGATTAGCACATCATTCAGACGCAGAAGCCAGGACGGTAGCTACAGCGAAGCAGAACCAACGTTTGGGCTCGACAAAGAAAAAAAGAAAAAAAGAAAGGAAGATAGAAAGAAAGAAACATAGAAAGAAAGAAAGAAAGAAGGAAAGAAAGAAAGAAAGAAAGAAAGAAAGAAAGAAAGAAAGAAAGAAAGAAAGAAAGAAAGAAAGAAAGAAAGAAAGCGAGGACGTGCGTGGGTACAAAAACTTCGTTGGCTTTGCTCAAACAATTTTTCTGTCGGGGTCACGTTCAGTTGAGAAATGTAGAATTATTGGGCGCTACGCCTTTGTCACTGGCAGCCTATATAGGGTGTTAAGGGCAGAGAGTGAGGGAGAAAAGAAGAGAGGGAAAAAAGATACATATTGCAACGAATGTAGCACTTACTGTGGTTTGGTGTAGACGTTCGCTTTAACGCACTGTAGATATACGTAACTACACCGCATTGTAGGAAAAAAAAGATAATAATTTGAGATGAGCCCTCGCGGAAAGCTAGAAAGGTTCAGATGAACTTCCCCCAACAAAAAGTTGGGGCCAAGAGAAGCTTGGCGTTTGTTGCCAGAGCCCACTTTTGGGAAATCCTAAAACAGCATTGGGCTTTTCGCAAGAAGACTTGCAATTATCCCACTTATCCTACCGCCTGTCCCCTCTAATTAAAACGTTATGCATATTCATTTATGTAAGTGATGCTGCAATCGATGTGTCTAGTCAACTCAAGGGGTAGGCCAATACATAAAAAAAATTGCCCGCAGCTTCCCTCGGGGGAACACTGAGGAGGATGCGGAGCATATAATTGGTTAACGGGGTGTTAAAGTGCGACTTACTTGGGTCGATGGCTAAATTGGTTAACGTGGTTGTGAAATGGGGTGTTAAATTGCGACTTACTTGGGTCGATGGCTAAATTGGTTAACGTGGTTGTAGGAGGGGGTGTTAAATGAGTGAACACGTACACACGTATGCGAAAGGGCGGCGCTGGTCGAAGGGACGTCGATCATTGTGTTTGTGGATTCGTTGGAATTCATTTCACCGCGACCTTGGACGTTGACGAACCGTACAAACCAACCGACGAGCGGCAACTGAGCGAGCGAGCGCCGACCTTGAGTATATATATATACAATGCGACGGCGCATGCACTGTCAGCTGTTGAATGTTCTCGAAGCGCGACGGTGCATGCGCGTCCACTGGAGAATCAGGAGAATTGTAGATGTCGAACGCGGTGTGTAGAGGAGGGAGGGTGCACAGATGGTGGAGGAGTGAAGCGCGCGCGGCGTGTAGAGGAGGAAGGGATGCACAGATGGTAAAAGAAGGAGGCGACGGCGCGGCGGCGCATGCGCGCGCGTCAGCTGTCGAATGTTCGAGAAGCGGTGCGGACGGCGCGGACGGCGCGGACGGCACACTACAAGGCGCGAGTATAAGATGCTTCCGCATCTAAAAGTATTTCTTGAGGTAGCAAGTGGGTATGTCATTTCTCTTATTTTTGAGGATTTTCGCATACATTTTTTTTTCAACGACGCTGTGTGCCTTGAAAGAATATTTCGCTAATCAAGCACACGTCTATGGGCTAGATGGCGTATTCTTTCATCTCTTTCTATTGTTTGTCATCGCTTCTTCATAATGCCTGCTATGTTCTTTATTATGCATTTTTTGTTTTGGAACGATCGCGTAAGTAAAATGTCAATGGTTTGAGAGTATCAATAATTATATTGTAAGGATGCAAGTAACTAAAAGAAAGGTGCTCGCACTGACAATGTTATGGTGACATCAGCAAGGTGGTTCATAACGCAGCTTGTTGTTCATGTTCAGCGTGCAATGATGCTGATTGTTATATGTGCAACTTTTCAAAGATATATGAAAATTACCTCGTGATACCTGTCGTGTATATCACATGCTCTTGCCATGTACAGAAACCCTGGATCTTCGTCAAGCTGCTGTGACAATTTTTTGCCCAAGTTTCTTTCCAGATCGTTTTTCTACTAATTAAAGTTGAAGAATTAAATTGAATGAGTTTACCGGACAGGTCTATCTGTGTTTTTGTCTTTAATTGTACAGAGCAGTTTACCTAGAAGTATGAACCAATTTACCCAGCTCCAAGTTTTACCTAATTGAATGACGTACATGCGAACAATGCGCCCACTGAAATATCATGAGCATAAAAAATTTCGGAAATGCAGACAAATTGGCTCAAAATAGGCACGCATGAGCTAGTTTATTCTCAATTTGTAAGGTTAATTCTGGTTACTGCTATGTTGTCACTAGTTTTTGGCGGGCTTTTGGTGTTGTAACCAGGTTTTATCTGAGGATCGATTGTGCTCGCCGTGTGAAGCTTTCTGCTGATTGTGCAAAGTGAGCGTACTATTCTTGTGTGTCTGTTTTATTTCTTTTCGCTTCTGTATTTCTTTTTATTTTCACTTTGTTTGTCTTACTCTCTTTTCTTTTGAATGCTTCCTCTTTCCTTCTATTGTTTCTCTCTTCTCTTCGACTGTCTTTTTTTTCTCATTCGGCACTTCTTCCCCTCTAATTTTCTCTCTCAACATTTTTTATATGCTACGATACATTTTCTCCCGTCCTTCTTCCTTTCTCTCATTAATCTTCACACCTGCTCCTCAACACACTTAAAATTCCAACCTGTCGCTGTACGACACTATACAAGGCTACGACATGATCTGTCAGCATGTCTGGATGACCGAGTGATTAAGGTGCTTGCCTTCGAATATTGGTACGTGGGCTCGAATTCCATCGCCTCGAGAGGAACGTGTTCGCTAAAAAGTTCTTTTTTCATCTATCTCTCTCTCTCTTTCTGTCGTCCTCTTGCCCTACGTCGCCAGTCTGTCGCTCGATTTCTGTGGCACATACCCATTCAGAACGATGATAGTTTTCGGGTCGATAATACGTCGAGCTATAGAACCGTTGTGTTGTTAAAAAATAGCAATAAAAAACGCAACCCTGCTCTATGTGCAGTGATCAAAGGCGAGCGCGGCCAGGACACGTGGCTGCCGTGTGACGTGGACTCGGAGCACGACGACAGCCCCGCCAAGGTGCTGTGGTACGCGCCAGCGACGGCCGCCAATGCCAGCGGCGAGCGCACGCCCTTCTACATGGTGGAGGATACGCAGCGGCGGGGCATCTGGAACGGACAGCACGCCATCGGCGTCCACTGGGCCGGCCGGGCCTCCTTTTCGGTGTCCCGGTCGCCGGCTGCTTTGAGGCTGTCGAGGCTCGAGCTCTCCGACTCCGGCGCCTACCTGTGCACGGTGGCCTTCCACGGCGGGGCGCAGCGAAACGCCACCGTGCGCCTCATCGTGGGCGGTGAGTCAGCTGCCCGTGGCAGTGACATTTTTAGATGCGAAGAATCTCTTGATTGGGCCGTGGAGTTTTCTAAATATACCCTAGAGGGAAATATGGCGCTAGTGTCTATGGGAGCTGCAACGCATGGCGCTTCAGCAAGCATGAAAATGATGGGTAGTACACGGATTTGTCTAATCTTCGTATTTCTGGCTCCGCGTGTGTTCGCGCGGCTTGAAGCTGTTTTCTCACGAAACGAAAATCAGCAAATGTTCAGCGATTGCGCTTCCCCGCCTTGTTCTTTTATTCTTACTATTTGAAACCGGGTCATGAAGTGCAAAAGGGTTCATTCTTTACTTAGAAACAAAACCAAAACACAGCAATAAACGAAGCCACAAGTGCACATGATTCGGCTCTCGCAAGTACAAAGACTAGGCAAGTCCGTGTACTACTAATCATTTACATGGGCTGTGTTCCAATTCTTAGACAGCACGTAGACAGTCTATGAAGACTGCCTAGAAAACAGCATCGACCCATGCTGTCCTAGAAATGGAACACATTCAGGTGGCTTTTACGCGACAATGCGCCACCTCGCGTCGAGAAGAAAAAAGCTAAAATAAACAAACGTAACAGTTGCATTTTCTGGCTTATTGTGTTGAAATCAAAAACAAATCAACGTTACTCACATTGATCGTCTGGAGAAGCGTCAGCTTGTGTGCAGACGACCATTCTGGCGAGATTTGATCTATCTGAGCATATCTGAGTGATTCGCTGAGCCGCCACCTTGTTTAGACAGCATAGTAGCCTGCATCGTATTTGTCTACGATTCGGTCTTCTCGGAGCTGTCTAATTTTCCTGTTACGTCAGAATTGGAATTGAAATGGGACTAAAGATGGCCGCTGTCCATCTAGCTGTCTATTTAGCCGTCTACGGTGAGTATTGGAACACAGCCATGGTCGCTGAATGATCGCAGCACCAGAGTGCCCCCTAGTCAATCTTAAAATTCTCTATGGCTTGGGTCTATGTTGGTTCAGCGAACTGGGAGCACGGGGGTAAACACAGACACAACCTTTGTGTCTGTGTTTACCCCCGCGCTCCCAGTTCACTGAACCATCATGAATTACCAACTAGCCCACCTTTCCATCCTATTGGGTCTATGTCCCACATGTTTCACGGCATCAGCAGCGTCCGCACTCAGACTACGCATGTGCAGCTCTCCTCCTCTCCTCTTTCCGACATCTGCACATGGCGCCCTTTAGCGCATGTCATTTGTATTATATATATTTACGAAATTTGCTAAATCCAGCGATAGTTCGTCTCTGGTAGTTCGACTCTTCAAAAAAATAATAATAAAAGGAGAGAGAGTCAGAGAGTCATTTGACTGCTTTAAGCGAAGCTCTTATGAGTAACGGACCTTACTGGCGTAGTTCGCGCAAAATAGAAAAAAAAGCTTTGTGTCGGCGAGTGTACTTGAATGCCGGTCCCAAAAAACGCGGTCCCCAAAGGGGCGCCCATTTCGGGCGCGTTTGGGGGCCCCGTTTTTCAGTAATTGATGGTTCCTTGATCGTTGGCGTCACGGGAAATCAGACGTTCCTGATGTAGCAGTCTGATATTTTATCGGGGTAACCTGTAATTTCATGCTGCCACACTCGAGTGTTGCATTTAAATTAAGCGTTTCATTGTTTCAAGCACGACTGCCGTTGTTACTCGTAGCAATAGAATAGTTAGGGCTGCTAACCATTCGGGTGATGGTCCTATTCCTGATGTTTATTGCAGAAGGATGACAATAAATAAAAAAAAAATAAATACATAAATACATAAATAAATAAAAGGGGTATGTGACACACGCCAAACGCCAATCTTCACGTGCCGCTTTTTTCTTAATAACGAAGGGTCTGTTTTTTGTGTTTTTTTGTGATCGTACTGTTTGAAGCGCTGTCTCTGACAGAGCTTTACGAGCGCGATGTCGACGATGAGCAGGAAGAGAACGGGAAAGAGGAAGGGGGTTATTTCCTGCAGGTGGGGATAATGTTGCAGAAGGGTGGACGTTCGGCCTCGTTGGCAGCGCAGTAAATATGATAAGTAACAGAATGACTAACGAAAATGAGCGCCATAGCCACGCTTATTCGTCGTGTAAAATAAAATTTTCACTTCATATAAGAGCTAGCGCATTGCTTCGAGGCAAAGTGGGTTTTGAATGAAGCTTCCTAAGCAGACAAATTGACACCGTTTATTTATTATACATTTAATAATTTTTATTAATCATTTATAATCTATCTATTTATTATTTTCTTTGTTTGTATTTATTTTTGTATTACTATTTTTGTATATTTATTTAGTTAGTTTATTTATTATTCATTTATTATTCACAGGAGATGCATTTTTTAAACCCCCATTACAGAGTGTATTCTTATCGAATATAGTAAAAGGAGGTGTAAAGCTAAAGCAAATGAGCTCGCACAATGAACCAGTACATAACGAAGGCAACCCGATGAAAAAAAAATACAGCAAATAAAATGCAATATACTGCTTCGGTTCTACGTTGATTGCTGGATTTGGGAGAGTGCGGTGGTCTCATTGTTCAGGCGCTGTACGCTTCGATCTCCCGTAGCCGGCTCTGTGGCACCGTGTTGTCTTCTTCACCGGCATTAAAAGATTAATTCTTCGCCCACACTGCAAATCATTTCACACCCTTAAGGGTGGATTTTTCAATAAATCACCCATCTTACACCTATTATTTCTGCCAAACTTATGCGCACGGGTGTAATTTCTGCAATTCCACCTTTTGTACACCCATTTGTCAATTTTAGGTGTACTGTAGGTGTAGATTCGCAAATTACACCCAAGGGTGTTTCCTTGAACGTTACACCTATCATATATGCATATAGTTTAGAGCATCAATACATATCACATCTCAACGGATGCAATCAAACCGCATGCCAAAGTTATGGTGAAGATATCGATGTTTTGGCTTTTGTTTTCAATTCCCATATCATTCGCCAAATTATATCGTGCTATGTATTATATCTATTATAGCACCGCCTATTTTTACATTATTCAGAACATTTCTCACATGTTCAACGACTTAATTCATGGGTTACGTTTTTGGTATTCTTACTAAAAATATTTTGCTGCCGCTCATGTACATTCTTCCCTACTTCTCACAGAGACATCGGTAAAAGAGATTAGGTTGCGCTTAAACATAACATGAAACGATTACACATGGTTTTCGACAGGCTATCGTGCGCGCTTTCTCATTTGAAATCACACTAAGTTTTTCGTACCAGAGCTCCTGGTTTATTAAAAACGATACTCTTTCTTGGGGACCTTCGACGCAAAAATTTTGGTCTGTCTGTTTGTCCGCCTGCACATTTGTCTGTTTGTCCACTCTATACGGCATCTCGTACTTCAAACGGCCGACCCCATCCGTAGCGCCCACCAATCTTGCTCAAGATTGAGCGTTCATGCTTGTGCAATCGTCAATTAAACAGCAATCATTGCGCATGTCTGCGGCACCATAACAACACGTATATATTCTGCATGTGCATATTTTACTAGAAAAAGCATACATAACTAATTTTAAGTACCGTAGCGCTTATCACGCTGCGCTGACCATGCAATAATTGCACGGAACGGGGAGTGTTTCCAACGCTTTTCTAAGGCGATACGGTGGTGGCACCTACCGTCGCCTTGCATTCTACACCTTATCACCTCTGAGATGGGCGCGCATACCCATCTCAGAGCCATGCGCTTTGTTTGTTTGTTTTTTCAGAAAACTGCCAGATGACGCTGATGTCTCATGTGTGACGTGACGTGATGCGCTCGTTCGCCTCCGCTGCACGCTCGAGGCACTCAAACACAGGGCCTCCAGAATACCACTCACCGATTTTCTTGCGCAGAACGCCAAATAAATGTCCTGTTCACTCTCTCCACACGGAAGACTATCGTCTTTCGACGACATTTGCAGAAACATGCAGATACGGGGCCAATTTTTTTAATGGGGGTCCACATATTTCCTCACACTGAAGTATTTCGCATCAATACACAAGTCCCTGATTTATTCAGTGAGTTATATTTAGATCCATGAACATAAATGAGTTCGAATTGAATGTTTGCAGCATTCGCCATGCCGTGGAACTAGGCATGTTTACAGATAACAGGTTAAGCTTACTCTAATGCAGCTGCTGTGCACGCATGCCGCGCCGCAGGACAAGCTTAGCGCACATCCGCTAAGCACGGGTGAACTCGTACAATGGTATGCACCACTCTGTGGGCACTTACTGTTCTTTTTTATATCCTTGATATCAACGCTTGCGCGGCACTTAGTATACACGTGAACGATCGTAGACAACACTAGCGCATTGTACCCGTGCCACAAGAATGGAAAATAGTTGACTAGTTGCAGCATTGTAATTGATAGCTGTTACTGTGGCGTTACAATGCACTGATAATCGCACATTGCTATGCGCACACACAATTTAAGACTTGAAATAAAAGCAAGCGTCATTCATACTTTGTCGGTAAAAAAAGCCTAGTGCCCAGGTTCTTGCTGAATGGCAGAGGGTTATTTAAAAGAAGCTAATAGCACAGCGGGGGTGTTGCTAGGATTTATGCATGCAGGGGGATAGAAAGAGAAAAAAAAGGGGGGCCTGACCCATTTGCATGTACATTTTTGTCTGTGGTTGCATACTTAAGAAACCAAATCGGGAGCTTGCATTTTTTTTGTGTGAAATGGGCCAAATCCTGACCCGAAAGTAGCACCAATGACACTCATTTGGCTCATACATACGTTCACCTTTCCTCTAAAACAGTAAAATAAAACATTATTTATACTTATCACTGTTCTAGAAAAACGTTGATAGCATGTATATGCCGAGGCAGCTTTTTTCGGTTCTAGATTTGCCCCATTTCGAATAAAAAAAGCTCCTCAAACGAACATAAGAAAGGGGTGGAGTTGTGTCAAATATAGAACAACCTCCACGCCACCCTTCCCTAACTTTTCATTTATATCTATGTTGCACAAA